TTAATTTTTGTAGGGATCAGGGTGGTTTTAGATTAAAGATTTTTGACAAAAGGTTGGTTCTGGGTTAATTTTTTCCGGAATCGGGGTGGTTTTAGCTTCATTTTAAAGATTTTTGACAAAAGGTGGGTTCTGGGTTAATTTTTGCAGGGATCAGGATGGTTTTAGCTTAATTTTAAAGATTTTTGACAAAAAGTGGGTTCTGGGTTAATTTTTGCAGGGATCGGGGTGGTTTTAGATTAAAAATTTTTGGCAAAAGGTTGGTTCTGGGTTAATTTTTTTCCGAAATCAGGGTGGTTTTAGCTTAATTTTAAAGATTTTTGACAAAAGGCGGGTTCTGGGTTAATTTTTGCAGGGATCAGGGTGGTTTTAGCCTAATTTTAAAGATTTTTGACAAAAGGCTGGTTCTGGGTTAATTTTTGCAGGAATTGAGGTGGTTTTAGCTTAATTTTAAACATTTTTGACAAAAGGTGGGTTCTGGGTTAATTTTTGCAGGGATCGGGGTGGTTTTAGCTTAATTTTAAAGATTTTTGACAACAGGCGGGTTCAGGGTTAATTTTTTCAAGGATCGGGGTGGTTTTAGCTTAATTTTAAAGATTTTTGATAAAAGGCGAGTTCTGGATTAATTTTTGCAGGGATCGGGGTGGTTTTAGATTAAAAATTTTTGACAAAAGGGGGGTTCTGGATTAATTTTTGCAGGGATTGGGGTGGTTTTAGCTTAAAGATTTTTGACAAAAGGTTGGTTCTGGATTAATTTTTGCAGGGATCAGGGTGGTTTTAGCCTAATTTTAAAGATTTTTGACAAAAGGATGGTTCTGGGTTAATTTTTGCAGGGATCTCGGTGGTTTTAGATTAAAATTTTTTGACAAAAGGCGGGTTCTGGGTTAATTTTTGCAGGGATCGGGGTGGTTTTAGCTTAATTTTAAAGATTTTTGACAAAAGGCGGGTTCTGGATTAATTTTTGCAGGGATCAGGATGGTTTTAGCTTAATTTTAAACATTTTTGACAAAAGGCGGGTTCTGGGTTAATTTTTGCAGGGATCGGGGTGGTTTTAGATTAAAAATTTTTGACAAAAGATTGGTTCTGGATTAATTTTTGCAGGGATCAGGATGGTTTTAGCTTAATTTTAAACATTTTTGACAAAAGGTGGGTTCTGGGTTAATTTTTGCAGGGATCAGGATGGTTTTAGCTTAATTTTAAAGATTTTTGACAAAAGGCTGGTTTTGGGTTAATTTTTGTAGTAATCGCGGTGGTTTTAGCTTAATTTTAAAGATTTTTGACAAAAGGCGGGTTCTGGGTTAATTTTTTCAGGGATTGGGGTGGTTTTAGCTTCATTTTAAAGCTTTTTGACAAAATTCAGCAGCAGCAGCTGAGAATTGATAAACAGAGGGAGATTTTAAGGTTATTTCTATCACATTTGGGCAACAGAGCGAGATTAAAACCCGTAAATTCGCACGGATTGAGGCTGGAGGTGAAACACCATCCGAGCATCGTTCTGGGGCTACCAATTCCTAAATTTTATTCAATTTATAACTTTTCCCAGATGACACCCCCGTGGCCACGGCCAAGAACATGCCCGGGGACAGCGCTGACCTGTTTGGGGACGGTGGCCCCGAGGATGGCAGTGCCACCAACGGTCGCCTCTGGAGAACCGTCATCATCGGCGAGCAGGAGCATCGCATCGACCTGCAGATGATCAAACCCTACATGAGGGTGGTGACCCACGGAGGTGAGCACAGAGAGGCTCCTGAATCGTTCTGGGTTCTTTTTGGGGTTGGTTTGACTCGGTTTTGGGGGAAAATTGCCCGTTTTTGGTGCCTCTGCGTGGTCAGGAAGTGCAAAAGCTGCGTCACAGCTCCTTGGTTTTGTGGCTGATTTGGGGCTTTAAGTTTTGGTTTAGTTCTTTTGTTTTGTTGTTTTTTCTTTCTTCTTTTTCTTCTTTTTCTTTTCCTCTTTTTCTTCTTTTTTTAATGCTAAAAATATTTAGGGATTGTAGGGATTTTTGGGTTGATGTATAGAGGGATCACTATTGACCCCTCCCAGCCCATTGCTGCAGCGCCCACACACCCAAGGCCACAGCTTTTCCCCAAATCCACCTTGGACACCCCAAATTCCTTCTTCAAACCCCAAATCCACATCACAACCAAAAAAACCCGGAGTAAATCTCACACTCACAGAGATCAGAAGAGTCACAAACGCTCCCCAGGAGCCGAGCAGAGACACAAAAACCTCCCCAGCACCAAATTTCGCTGCTGTTTTTCCCTCAGCCTTTACATTTTTCCCTGGAAAGTGTTATTTTTTTTTATTTTATTTTTTTGCCAGGATATTACGGAGAAGGGCTCAATGCCATCATTGTTTTTGCTGCCTGCTACCTCCCCGACAGCAACCTGGCTGATTACCACTACATCATGGAGAACCTGTTCCTGTGAGTGCAGGGCTCTGCTGGGGACAGGAGATCAGGGGGATWATCCAAGGATTCCCTGGCATTCCTGGCAGCGGGAATTTGGGCTGGGAATGGGTGGGATCCGAGCCTGGCGCTCCCGGGGTGGGGCTGTGCCAGCTCCGAGCCCAAAGTGTTCAAATGTTTGGGGT